CCAGCCTTCATACATATGTTGGACAATGCTCAAGAAGCTAGCTGTGTTTATTTACATATGCATTTTCTTATTTTCATTGCCATTTGTTAAATTTGCCAAGCAATCCTGGCACCCAGTAAGCATACAAGTGTTCCTGCAAGTGATAAGAAAAGGTTTAAGCATTCAAGTCTAGGAATTCGAGATATTAGATAAGCTGAAGAGAGGCCTTAATGACTCATCAGTTTGTACAATTAAAAACAAAGTACAGTTAAAAATAATAGCTGACTGGCTTACTGACTGACTTGACTGATTCACTAACGGACTTGACTCAATGCTATAACCCACAGACCATCCCGCCCAGCGAACTCAAAATTTTTTCCCCTGCCACAACTGTGTTAAACTAATTTTACGAAGTGTTGAACAAAAACATGCTGCAATTCTTCAATTGTGCTATAATCAAAACGTGAAAGACAAAACCATGTTAAACAATGGTCTACTGTATACATTTCCCTACACAGAAAACAATGAGACATGCTGATTGAAACATTACTAAAATGACACTTACCTTCATTGAAGACTTATTGATGATTGATAAGATGGGAGGAGGGGAGAGGATGGAGGTGTACTATTGTTTGGATGGGAAATCCCCTTCCATAAAGACTTCAGGTACCAAGTCCTTTACTGGGGTTACTTCTCTTCTTTGTTTTTTAATTGCACTAGGACAAGCTTGAGAGTCGCTAGACCCCTGTTGCACAAAATATCTGTCCAGAGAGCTCTGTTTTGGCATGTCTTTAAGATTTCCCTAAAATTGGACACAGCATTGTCATTGTAGATGTTGCCAGCATGGCCTGCAACAGCTCTGTCAGAGTAATGTTCATCCATAAATACTTGCACCTTTGTCCACATTGTACAAATGTCCTTAATCATTGAAGAAGGCAACTTCTTCCATCTCTCTTCTTTCTCTGAAGCAAATTCCTGAGCTGTGGTCTGTTGGTGTTACACATGAAGGTCTTGCAGCTCTCTAGTGGTTAGCTCTTCGTTGTGGTCCTCCCAAATGCCACAATACTTTCTACAATTGGCATAGACTCCTCAGGGTCTGCTCCAAACCATTCAAAATCCCTCTCTTGTACACATTCTGACTACAATTTTTTCCAAACAGAGTTCAAAGTCCTGGAAGTCACTTCCTCCTCAGCCTTACCTAAAAGGTTTATGCAACTGAGGATACTGAAGTGATCTTTCCAGAACTCTGTTAGGGTCAATTCAGTGTCTGATGTCACTTAAAAGCACTCTTGAAACACTGCTTTGGTGTACAGTTTTTTGAAATTTGATATGCCCTGCTGGTCCATGGGCTGGAGGAGAGGAGTGGTATTAGGAGGCAAAAACTTCACTTTGATGAAATGAAACTGGCACCATTCACTCTTCCAAGTGTGGAGGATGAACAGGAGCATTGTCCATTACCAGGAGGCACCTGAGTTCCAATTTATTTTCCAGGAGGTATTTTTTCACACTGTGGCCAAACACGTCATGGAACTAATCAAGGAAAATGTCCCTCTTGACCCTTGCCTTACTGTTTACCCTCCACATCACACACAGTTTACTCTTCACACTGTTTTTCTTGAACACTCTGGGATTTTCAGACTGATACACAAGTAAAGGCTTCACTTTCAAATCTCCACTAGCATTACTACAAAACATGAGTTAGCCTGTCTTTCATAGGCTTGTGTCCTGGAAGTGCCTTTTCCTCCTGAGAAATGTAGGTCCTCTTTGGTATTTTCTTTCAAAGGAGGCCTGTTTCGTCACAACTGAACACTTGTTGGGGTTTTAATTTTTCAGTCTCTATGTACCCCTTGAAGTCCTGAACGTAGTTCTCAGCCACTTTTTTGTCAGAACTGGCAGCGTCACCATGCCTTATCACACTGTGTATGCCACTATGATTCTTAAATCTCTTAAACCAGCCTTTGCTGACCTTAAATTCACCAGTATCAGTACTAGTTCCAAGCATTTGCTTTTTCACATGTAAATGACTGCATAACACTCTCTCCTGATAATTGTTTCTCATTGATTCACACCAACAACAAAGTCTCCACATCTTTGAGTATTTGCGATCTTTGTTTTGTAAGCATATTTGCACCTTCTGCAACAACAGCTTCCTTGATTGCATTTTTGTTGGCCAAGATAGTAGCAATGGTTGTATGGGGTTTGTTATACACCCAGGCCAGCTGAGAGACACGCACTCCACTTTCGTATTTTGTGATGTTCTCTTTCTTGAATTCTGTAGTGTTTCTCACCCTCTTTACCAAAGGGCTGGCACTAGAAGCTTTTTATGGGCCCATGGTGACTCATTTAGCAGTTACAAGCACTAAAAACAATGGAATAATACAAAATGTATCGCATGAATGCGTGGGATCATCCTCAGTGGCTGGTAAACAATGGTACACTGGCTATGCATGAAGTGTCTGGGCCACTCAGGCCATGCGGACAGGTTTGGGATGAGTGACTTACACCGAGTTCAGTGTTGTTCACTGAGCCAATATTTTGATGCAAAAACATTACTTATTCCAATTATTACTTATTCCAATGATATCTTAATCCGGAGGTCCACTGTACTGAAGTGATTCCTCCAGACCTCTCTTAGGGTCAATTCAGTGTCCGAGGTCACTTCGAAGCACCTTTGAAACGCTGCTTTGGTGTAGAGTTTCTTGAAGTTACAAATGACCTGCTGGTGCTTGGGCTGGAGGAGAGAAGTGGTGTTAGGAGGCAAGAGCTTCACTGTTACAAAATGAAGTCCCTAGATAATAGGTCTACCAAGTTTGGAGGATGACCAGGAGCATTGCCCAGTAACAGTCAGCACTTGAGTGGCAATTTATTTTCCAGGAGGTATTTTTTCACACTAGGGCCAAACACTTCGGAGGAGGGGGTAGGGAAGGGTAGAGGGAAGGGAAGGGAGGGAGTACGGAGGAGGGGGGACGGCAACTCCATTCATAAAATCATTGTCACACACACACACACACACACGTGCCCCCACCACCTCCCCCGTCCATCCCCCATCCCACTCTTTGAAAATTTGCCTCGTGACCCATGCCTTATAATTAGCTGTCCACAACACACACAATTTACTCTTGATGACATTGCTTTTCTTGAACACTCTGGGATTTTCTGAGTGATACACCAGTAAAGGCTTTACTTTAAAATCCCCACTAGCATTAGCACAGAACAAAAGAGTTAGCCTGTCTTTCATAGGCTTATGTCCTCGCAATGCCTTTTCCTCCTGCATGATGTAGGTCCTCTTTGGCATTTTCTTCCAAAACAGGCCTGTTTCTTCACAACTGAACATTTATTGGGGTTTAAAATTTTCAGTCTCTACGTACCCCTTAAATTCATGAACGAATTTTTCAGCTGCACATTTATCTGAACTTGCAGCCTCACTATGCCTTACCACACTGTGTATGTCAATATGCTTCTTTAATCTCTCAAACAAGCTTCTGCTGGCCTTAAATTCTCTAGCATCAGCACTGGTTTCAGACATTTTCTTTACAAGATCGGCATGCAACTGCCTTGCCTTTTCACAAATGATCAACTCCGATACACTATCAGCCACTTTCTGTTTATTGATTGATCCACACTAGCAACAACTTCTCAGCCTCTTCGATTGTTTGTGATCTGTTTTTTATTAATATGTCAACACCTTCTGCAACATCAGCTTCCTTGATTTCTTTTCTCTTTGTCAGGATAGAAGTGACTGTTGATTTGTTTTTGCCATACAACTGGGCAAACTCCACCACACACACACCACTCTCATGTTTCTTTTTTCACATCTATGGTGTTTCTCACTTTCTTTGCCAAAGGGCTTCCACTAGGAAGTTTCTTTTGGCCCGTTGTTACTTGTGTAGCAGTCACACTCAAACAACAAGCACAAAACACAATGAATTATATTGTAAAATGTTTGGATGAGCACTCAAGGATAAACAAAGGCTCACTGACTCATGATGCCGGTGCGAGTAGGTGCACAGGCACAGACAGGCAGACAGGTCTGGTACGCGAGCTGAAACACAGAGCACAGTGTGAAACTTGGACCAAAATTTAGCTGAAAAAAAGGTCTAGACTTGAAACCTCCGATACTCAGGGCGGCCGAAACTTGAGGGTCCACTTTACTTCCATTATCCTCTTCCAAGTGCTGCTGTACTTCTGTCTTGTACTCTGGGGTGCATAAATTTGTACAAATATGTAGTCTTGGAGACTTTAAAAGCTAGTGTACTGAATGGCTGTAAGAAGGAGATTGAGATGCTTGATGCTAAGACGCTGCACTGCTCGTTTCTGTGACCCAAGTTATCAAATGACATAAAATACTGACTTGTCAGAGAGCCCATCATAACTCCGGGTTGTTGGTAAACGAGTACATTGGTAAGTGAGGAGAGGCTGTATGTTATGTTGATAATGATAGAATAGTGTACAATTCTGACTCATGTTTCTATTGCAGAAGTATTTTGTGGAAGACCACTACCAAGTTGTATCTTCCAAGTACATCAAGAAACATCTGTTTTGTTTAACAACCACTACTGCAGAAGAATTTTCTGGAACACTACCAGGTTGTACCTGAATGAACACCATACCATAAATATTGCAAGAACACCAACACTTGTTATTCTGATGAATTTTTAACTGGCCTTCAGTATTGCAAGAAGAGCATCACTTGTGATTCTGATTTTTTTTAATTGGCCTTGCATTATTAATAATAAAAAAATTTCATAAATAGAATTCTCTCTGAAAATTTCAAGGCAGTTCAAAGAAAAATAAAAGTTAGTCATGCTGTAGTTAACAATTTTCAGAAAATGAATGTTTAAACTTAAGAAAAAATGTTCTTCAGTGTATCTGCAGAATTCTAATACTTATGTTAGTCATTTTACAAACGAACAAAAAATTATTGCAGTTCTTTAAGTTAAAAAAATAAACTTAATTAGAGAAATAGTTTTGTAGCCTGGTAATATATATGTGGAAAAAATGTGTCTTCAGTGTCCAAATAGTTTAACAAAAAAGTAAATTTTGAAAAATACATAAGAGTACATAAGAAAGATTAATGATACCACTGTTGAATAACTAAAATATTTTAAAATGAAATACCTTCTCTTGAAAATTATGAAACATAAAGGAAATAAACCATATCAGTGTTCAGAATGTCTGAAATGTTTTAGTATAAAAAGCCATCTTGTAACACATATGCGAGTACATACAGGAGAAAAACCATTTCGGTGTTCAGAGTGTTTGAAATGTTTTAGTGTAAAAAGCCATCTTGTAACACACATGCGAGTACATACAGGAGAAAAACCATTTCAGTGTTCAGAGTGTCTGAAATGTTTTAGTGTAAAAAGCCATCTTGTAACACATATGCGAGTACATACAGGAGAAAAACCATTTCAGTGTTCAGAGTGTCTGAAATGTTTTAGTGTAAAAGGCAGTCTTGTGAGACATTTACAAGTACACTCAGGAGAGAAACCATTTCAATGTTCAGAGTGTCTGAAATGTTTTAGTGTAAAAAGCCATCTTATAACACATATGCGAGTACATACAGGAGAAAAACCATTTCAGTGTTCAGAGTGTCTGAAATGTTTTACTGAAAAAGGTAGTCTTATGAAACATAAACGAGTACATTCAGGAGATAAACCATTTCAATGTTCAGAGTGTCTGAAATGTTTTACTGAAAAAGGTAGTCTTATGAAACATAAACGAGTACATTCAGGAGATAAACCATTTCAATGTTCAGAGTGTCTGAAATGTTTTAGTCAAAAGGGCAATCTTTTGACTCATATGCAAATACATACAGGAGATAAACCATTTCAGTGTTCAGAGTGTCTGAAATGTTTTAGTCAAAAGGGCAGTCTCTTGAATCATATGCAAATACATACAGGAGATAAACCATTTCAATGTACACAGTGTCTGAAATGTTTTACTGTAAAAGGCAGTCTTGTGACACATATGCGAATACATGCAGGAGATAAACCATTTCAATGTGCAGAGTGTCTGAAACGTTTTACTTTAAAAGGCAGTCTTGTGAGACATATGCGAAAACATACAGGAGATAAATCATTTCAGTGTTCAGAGTGTCTGAAATGTTTTATTGTAAAGAGCCATCTTGTGTCACATATGCGAATACATACAGGAGAAAAACCATTTCAATGTTCAGAGTGTCTGAAATGTTTTATTGTAAAGAGCCAACTTGTGTCACATATGCGAATACACACAGGAGAAAAACCATTTAAGTGTTCAGAGTGTCTGAAATGTTTTAGTGTAAAAGGCAGTCTTGTGAGACATTTACAAGTACACTCAGGAGAGAAACCATTTCAATGTTCAGAGTGTATGAAATGTTTTAGCTTAAAAAGCAGTCTTGTTCAGCATATGCATGTACACACAGGAGAAAAACCATTTCAGTGTTCAGAGTGTCTGAAATGTTTTACTGAAAAAGATAGTCTTATGAAACATAAACGAGTGCATTCAGGAGATAAATCATTTCAATGTTCAGTGTGTCTGAAATGTTTTAGTCAAAAGGGCAATCTTTTGAATCATGTGCAAATACATACAGGAGATAAACCATTTCAGTGTGCAGAGTGTCTGAAATGTTTCAGTCAAAAATTCAGTCTTGTGAAACATATGGTAATACATACAGGAGATAAAAAATTTCAGTGTTCAGAGTGTCTGAAGTGTTTTAATAGAAAAGGTAATCTTATGTCACATATGCAAAAACATACAGGACATAAACCATTTCAGTGTTCAGAGTGTCCGAGATGTTTTACTGAAAAAGGCAGTCTTGTGAGACATATGCAGCTACACACAGGAAAAAAACCATTTCAGTGTTCAGAGTGTCTGAGATGTTTTGCTGTAAAACGCTATCTTGTGAAACACATGCGAGTACATACATGAGATAAAACATGTTAGTGTTTAATGTTTCAGGATTATTTCAGTTATAAACATAAGAATATATATACTTTTTTTTATTAACTCATTGGCCATTTCCCTCCAAGGAAGGGTGGCCCATAAAAGTAAAACATTCATCATCATTCACTCCATCACTGTCTTGCCAGAGGTGTGCTTACACTAGAGTTATAAAACTGCAGCATTAACACCCCTCCTTCAGAGTTTATATGCTGTACTTCCCATCTCCAGAACGCAAGTCCGGCCTACCGGTTTCTCAGAATCCATTCATAAATGTTACCTTCCTCACAGTCGAACAGCACATCAAGTCCTAAAATCTATTTGTCTCCATTCGCTCCTATCTACCATGCTCACACATGCTGGAAGTCCAAGCCCCTAGCACACAAAACCTCCTTTACCCTTTCCCTCCATCCTCTCCTAGGCTGACCTCTACCCTGCCTTCCCTCCACTACAAATTTATACAGTCTTGAAGTCTTTCTATTACCACCTCAACAACCCCTCCTCAGCTCTCTGGATAATAGTTTTAGTAATCCCACACCACCTAATTTCCACACTACAACTTCTCTGCATTATATTCACACCACACATTGCCCTCAGACATGACATCTCTACTGCCTCCAGCCTTCTCCTTGTTGCAACATTCACTACCCACGCTTCACACTCATATAAGAGTGTTGGTATAACTATACTCTCATACATTCCCCTCTTTGCTTCCATGGTGAAAGTTCTTTGTCACCTTTGTGCACTACTCACCTTTTTTCCTCATCAATTCTATGATTCACTTCAACTTTCATAGACCCATCTGCTGACACTTCCACTCCCAAATATCTGAATACATTCACCTACTCCATATTATCTCCCTCTAATCTGATATCTAATCTTGTTACCTATTGTTTTTTTGTTAACCTCATCACCTTACACTATCCTATATTCACTTTTAATTTCCTTCTTTTATGTATCCTACCAAACTCGTCCAGAAACCTCTGAAACTCCTCTTCAGATTCTCCCATAAGCACAGTGTCATCAGCAAAGAGCAACTGTGAGAACTCCCAACTCAGTATGCTCAGGTCAGTGGTCACCTGCTGTCATACCTGCCTAAGCTCTTGGGAGTTAGCGTGGGCTGTTACTAAGCACCATGACTTGTTGTAGTGCTTTAGAATCTCAGGTTCAAGTGTTGAAGAAGGAGATTTTGCTTCTTCAGGAGGAAAATAGGAGGCTGAAGCTTCGCATAGATGGTAAGGAAGGAATGGTCACCAGCAGTGATAGTGGCAGCCGCTTTTGCAAGTGGTTCACAGTTCAGGAAGAAGGAAGATGAGGAGAGTTAATAGAAAAGATGTGAAGGTAGGAAATCGATTCTCTGTTCTCCGAGTGTACTTCAGTGGTTAGTGAGGTTGAAGGCACCACTGATTCCCCTGCTAATCAAGGAAAGAATATTTTAACAGGCGATTCTCAGGTAAGATATATGGACAGTGCATTTTGTAACAGAGACAGAAAGGTCAGACAGAGAGTGTGCTTTCCTGGAGCTGGTGTAGGTGACATAGTCAGCAGGTTGGATAATATTATGGCACATAATGGGAACAAGCCCATTATCTGTCTTAATGCTGGGGATAATGACAATGGGAAGGGCAGGAGAGAGGAGCTGCTGGATAAGTACAGGTTAGCCATAGAAGTAGTTAGGTCTAAGGGAGGGATCCCAGTCATATGTAGCATCTTGCCTAAAAGGGAGTGGGCAATGAATGGATGTCTAGGGCAATTGGTACAAATTGCTGGCTAGACAGGTACTGCAAGGAACTTTTAATCCCATTCATTGATAACTAGGACCTATTCCTTGGCAAACATGATATGTATGCAAGGGATGGGGTTCATCTCTCTGGGAATGGAGTAGTTGCATTAGCCAATTCAATTGAGAGGGTAACTGATGACTTGTCATCAACAACAACAACATAACTATATTTAACTACAATATCAGATCTTTAAGCAAGCATTACGATGACCTCATAGCATTACTAAATTCCTTACGTGCCAATATGTCCATCATTACACTAACTGAAACCTGGCTAAAGCCTGATAGTACAGATGTCTATGCCATTCCTGGTTACACAACCATACACAACTGTAGGCCAGATCAACAAGGGGGTGGCACAGCCATATACTACTCAGACCAACTAGAATGTATCACTAATACTTGCACAAGGGATGAACATGGGGAATATATAATAGCTAAATTCAAATCAAAGTACCTACAAAAACCTCTCACATTGATAAACATCTACAGAGTTCCACAGTCAAACATTAGCCAATTTAGTCAAAATCTAGGAAGTATGATGACTGATGCACGCATGAACAAAGATCACTTACTACTCTCAGGTGACTTCAATATAAATCTCCTGCAAGACCAGGACCCACACGTTACTGAATTCACAAACACAATGAGTAACTGTATGTTACTACCAACAGTAACAAAAACCTACAAGAGTTACAGAGACTAGTGTTTCCTACTTGACACACATCTGGACCAACACCATATCCCCTTTAAATCAGGCATAATTACAGATAATACCACAGACCACTACCCTACTTTCTCATAACAACTCTTGGTAAACTACCCCAAGACACTACTAAAGTCACCTTCAGACTTCACAATGAGGCAGCCATTAATAACTTCACAACAGCAATAGCAACATTGATTGGCACACTGAGCTAGAAACCTATACAGATATTGACGATGTATTAATAATTTTCTAAAAAAAACCCAATACCTCTATAAACAAGCACTGCCCTAAAAAAAACTAAACAGATGACAGCAAAGAGACTGAACAGTCCCTGGCTAACACCCAGCATTCTCAAATCCATAAATACAAAACACCAATATGAAAAAAAAGTACAGAATGGGTCACTATAACCAGAGACCAAACAAACGTTACTCGTCAATCCTAACCAGCCTGATAAGAAGGGCAAAAAAAAATTGTATTATGAGAACAGTTATCCAACTTACGAGGGTGATATAAAAAAGACCTGGAAAACCCTATCAGAAATTCTGGGAACAAAAAAGATATCATGAAATAGCGAAATAAAATTAGCAAAAACAGATGAACCCCAACTCCCACCAACAGAAACAGCAAACAGACTCAATGATTTCTTCTCCACTATAGGACAAAACCTTGCCAATAAAATCTCAAGCTCAGATACCCCACCAAATGACTACCTCACCGGCAACTACCCGAACACACTGTTCCTAGCTCCGACTAACCCATACGAAGTCTCCCTTATTATCAACGCGCTAAAAAACAAGGCAGGAGATTTAAATACCTTACCACCCCTTATATACAAAAAAGTGTCACAAGTGCTATCACCAATCATTGCAACACTCTTTAACAAATCCATTGAATCCTCCACCTTCCTCACAGTACTCAAAATAGCAAGGGTCACCCCGATCACAAAGGAGGAGACCAAACACAGTTGAATAAACTATAGGCCAATATCCAACTTACACCCTCTCTCAAAAATCTTCGAAAAATTAATTCATAAACGAATCTACTCCTACCTTATCTCCCAAAACATACTCAACCCTGCCAATTTGGATTCAGGCCTAATAAAAATACTAATGATGCTATTATACACATGCTAGAACATATATACACTGCAATAGAGAAAAAAGAAGTCCCATGGGGATCTTCATTGACTTACGTAAAGCTTTTGATACAGTTGACCATGACTTGCTCCACGTAAAATTGTCACACTATGGTATAAGAGGGCACTCCCTCAACTACCTCAAGTCTTACCTCAGCAACAGAAGCCAATATGTGTACGCAAATGGGGCAAACTCTTCTGCACAACCAATTACAGTTGGTGTCCCACAGGGAAGTGTCCTTGGCCCTCTTCTCTTTCTCCTATACATAAATGACCTTCCAAATGCTTCGCAATTACTCAAACCCACACTATTTGCAGATGACACTACATACATCTTCTCTCACCCGAGCCCAGTCACGCTAGCCAATACTGTAAATACCGAATTACAGAAAATATCTACCTGGATGAGGACTAACAAACTTACACTAAACATTGACAAAACCTACTTCATTCAGTTTGGTAACAGAGCTACAGATGTCCCTCTTAACATAATGATAAATGGATCACCTATCACAAAACTAACAGAGGGAAAATTCTTAGGAATCCACCTTGATAATAGACTCAAATTTCATACACATATACATCAAATTTTTAAGAAAATTTCCAAGACTGTAGGCCATACTATCGAAGATACGGTACTATGTTCCACAGTCAGCCCTCCTGGCCCTATATCACTCTCTTATTTACCCCTATCTCACCTATGGAATTTGTGCATGGGGCTCAACAACAATTAACCATCTCAGACCACTAATTACCCAACAAAAGGCTGCAGTTAGAATGATAACAAATTCTCACTACAGGCAGCACACTCCACCAATATTCAATACACTAAACCTACTCACCATACAAAACATCCATACTTATTACTGCACCTATTACATACATAGAACACTTAACTCTGATATTAACCCTCCCCTCAAACATCTCCTTGCCAACCTCAACAGAACACATGACCATAACACAAGGCACAGATCACTCTTTGATGTTCCTCGTGTCCATCTCATACTATGCAAAAACTCAATGCACATAAAAGGCCCTAAAATCTGGAATTCATTACCTGTAAATATAAAAGAAACACTACCTGTTTATAAATTCAAGTCTCTTCTCAAAGATTACTTACTCACCCAAAACCAAATAAATACTGAATAACTGAACATTATAAATTTGTATATCTTAAATGTTTCTCACAATTATATCACATAAATGTTAAACCTAAAACCCAATCTAACTTTATTATTTTTTAAATACACTACCTAACAGAATCACTACCTAACTGAATGCAACCATATGACCTGTCTTTGTAATACTCACTTGTGCTTTATAGTTATCTGTTTACATTAATGTTTTATCACTGATTTCATCATTGCTTAGTAGCAGCGCTGTATAGTCCTTGTGGCTTAGCGCTTCTTTTTGATCATAA